GCTAGCATCAAATAACACTAACCCGGTGGATCAGCATGGGTGAGTAGCTGTACATCATTAGCACGGCAGAATGCGTGCAGGGAAGGTGGCACGACACAACAAGAGGCTAGATTTATCTGCGCAATGGCAGGCTTGACGCGCGCCCACGCGTGCAGCTTGCGAAGGCACCCGCCGCCTACATCCGCCACGCCCAGCTGGTGTACACGACCTATGTACATAGATTTAGACAATATTAGTTACAATCCTTTGGCGTGAACGACGTGTTTTCGTTACAAAGTCAAGGTGTCAACCAGTTTACGCTATTAATTTATTTAGACATTTCTGTTTTTGTAACAAACTAGCTGTCGCTCGTGACTCCTTCCACGCGGAATTAACAAAACCTTAGTATCCCATGTGTTCTTCCAGACTATGTTCTACATCTGGCAAATTTCATCTAGATCCATGCAGAATTTCTGGAGATATCTTAAATCATCCATCCATCCATCCATCTAAACATTCGCATTTATATAAGTAAGATGATACTACGTTTGCTTTCGAGACCTATAATTTATATTTTACTAAATATTAATATTATAAATGCGAATAGATGGATGTTACTTTAAAGATATCTCCAAAATGTCTGAATGAATCTCGATGAACTTTGGCATATATATAGAACATAGTCTGCAAGCACACATAGACTACTAATAAAGATTTTTTTGTTTCACGCGGACAGAGTCGCCGACTACAGCTAGTTATATTTAAAAACATTTCACCTTCTTTAACATAATCCTCTAGCACCGCCCACAGTACTTTAATCCCAGGCAGTATAGCTTCGCATTTCCTCGCATCCGCTTCGCTGTCTGCTTCCATCTCAGTACTGGATAAACGACCTGGGAATGCAGATATTTTTTTAAACTTAATTATGAAATCTTGAGGTAATTTTAGGGGGTACATGGGGGGGAGGGGGGTGGACACCGGGCAATAAGGAAATGACCTTGAGTCTTCTAATGTTACAAAATCAATTTGGAGTTTGCTTTGGTTTCATGAAATATATAAAACTTAAAATTTCGTTCTTTCATGCATGCATGTAACTGCGCCTTATTATCTAACTTTCTTACGAACATTATGTCAAGGGATATATAAGTTTTCAGAGAAACTTACATTATATGTTTTACCCTACTATCATAGATTTTGCACAAAAGATGGCTTTTTAATATCTACTAATATTTTTTGGGTAATTAATTTTACTAATTCCTAACAATATTTTATAATTACTGTCCACAAAAACCTTACCAACATTACTGCCTAGTGATATAGGTGAAGCCTTAGTGAATGTGTTCTTCAGATTAGAGTCATCCAATGTCTCTTCCTTGTACAGCACATCAGGGTTATACGCTAGGATCACATTTTCTATGAATTCTGTACGTAACGCTGTAAATACTGAAATAGAAAATATTTCAATTATAAACGTTTGCATAATATTACAAAAAGCATTGTAAGGGGAAAATGTGCTACAAATAAAATATAAAAAGCGCCTGCAATTTATAAATAGCAATTTTACTATCATACGTTTTCATCTATTTAAATTAAATAATAAAAGGCACTACAAATTTTATACATATCGCCAATTGCTATATTTCTTTAAATCATTTTAAACAAATTGTGTGATACTGGTTAGTGATATTGTATAATAATAGTAAATTATGTTATATCAGAGTATTATTAGACATTTTATTTATATTATCATATCAAAAAATCTGCACATTTATTAAATCTCTATGATTCGCCATAATTATTTGATATGAAATCACTAGCACAGGCTTTAGTTATGAACACGGAAGCGAGCTCAACTAGTTGATAAGATAATTAGATAATACTAGCTGTCGCCGGCGACTCCGTCCGCGCAGGATTAAAAATACATGTTGGCCGATTCTCAGACCTACTCAATATGCTCACAAAATTTCATGAGAATCGGTCAAGCCGTTTCGGAGGAGTATGGGAACGAAAACTGTGACACGAGAATTTTATACATAAGATATAACAGACTAGGTATTAACCCCCAACTGCGTCCGCTCGGAAAAATAACTCAATCAGTAGCCTATGTGTTTTATGACATCAAAACTTTCTAAGAAACATCCATCACCTAACCATTCGCATTTATTATATTAGTAAGATTAATTAGCATGCAACTGGCTTTAGCGATGGCCGACAAAAATTAAGACTCGTACTATATACTAACCTCTAAACATCTTTTTGTATAAGTCTAGGCTAAGGCTAAGCGACTAAAATCGCTAGGTTTCGAAAATTTACATCACCCTGTGTACTCGTTATGCATGATAGGTAAGTTAAGCATTCAATAAATAAACAAAGAAAACGTTGTTTTAACACGTAGTAGTACAAGGTTGCATAAAATCATCTGAACTACAAAGAATCTATACATAAGCTACTACTATAGCATTACTAATCGATATCACGGTCGTTAACATATCATACGGTAGTCAGAGACAAAACACTAATGATTACAGCTCAATTTTAGATCCACGAAGAGACGCCTCCTATTTGACATACGCCGCTAGAGGCTTAATGGAATAGGGTTTTAAGGGCAGACACTATTCCAGATTAACAGACACTTACTAATATTATAAATGCGAATATTTAGATGGACTGATGTTTCTCCAGAAGGAAGGTAGGAAGGTATCTCGAGAACGGCTGAACGGATTTTGATAAAATTTGGCATACATATAGAACTAGAAAAAATACATAGGCTACTTATTATTAATTACGCGGGGATAGAGTCACGGGCGATAGCTAGTGGCAATATAAATAAACCTTTTTTTTTCTACAGTTCACCGAAGCAAAGGTTTTCCGATCTAAATATAACTGGGTGGATATGTCGCAAACATGAACTGTATGTATTTCGTAATATTTAATAGGTAAGCTAGTATTTGTTGTACATGAGACAGCGTTTTTCGCGCGTGACTAACAGAATATGACGTCACTGCTTATTCGATGTTATACATATGTTTGAGAATCAATATAGAAAATAGTCAAACGATGATAGTTTGTGGGTTTATCTCATAACTAATGGTCGCCTATTGATCGAAATTCGATTTTAATTCATAATTATATTGTTTATTTTTGATTATAAATAGCTTTATGCAATTATCTACTACATTTACTTTAACTATGTCAAATTTTACTAGCATCCGTTCGCGTTTTTTAAAAAGGGGTACAAAATGTTCGCTGGTCGTATGAAATATAGGTCAAGACTCAAGGTTTTTATAAAATAACCAGAAATATAAATAGAAATAGGAACATGGAATTTGACGTTTCACATTTCACTTAAGGGCGCAGTTTAACTGTAGTTATCGCCGAATGCGTGTTGCGAGAGATTCCTCGTTCATGCATGCCATAACGCTTTTATTAGCCGTTAACGCCCTTGACTTTAATTAGTCATATGATCAATAAAATGGGGGAAATCCATTTTTATACTCTATTCCCAGACGTAAAACTACAAAGCGTTCATTTGTTCTAAATCAGTGGTTCCCAAACTTGTTTTGTCTACTGCCTACTTTGAGAGTAAATATTTTTTTAGCGCCCTCATAATAATATACATATATAGGTCACAATAATTAAATTAATTAATTATTGTGACCTATATATGTATATTAACGGAGAATTCTAAACGAAACTTTTACTATAACCCGCAACTTGAGACCTGAAGCGCCCACAAAGGGGCGTTGTCGCCCACTTTGGGAAAGATCGTTCTAAATGAATGTGTACCTTTTTCCAAGCACTCCGTCAACGCGGACGTACTATCTTCGTTGATAAAAATCTTAACACCAATTTTCAGATTCTTTCGTTCCTCCTCCGCCATTTTGTTTTGTACATCATCGTGTGGCCTCGTTATGTTGAGGACCGCTTCCGTTGGCGCCGTCGATGTCGACACCACCATATAATCTGAGTGAATCTGCGATGTTCTTGGATTAGAATCATCGTTTATACCATTCTGAATTGGTATTTCATTCTGATTACCCCATTCTGATAATGTCAGCTTTATACTTTCCGATAGCTGTAAAAAGATAATAGTTATTTGATAAAAGCAATCAACTACATACTATAAACATTTAAAAGGGTAGGTAGTAATAAAAATATGACGAATGAAGGATTCGTCCATTTACCGTATGACGGACAGTGGCGCCACTGGTCATTTATACATCTGAAGGCGAGCCGAACAGACGTCAGTTATAGGTACCCACTAATTACATGTATTTTGTTTGTGTTTTCTTTAATTTTACTTTTATTTTTATTTTAACTTGTTTCAAACTAATTAAATCCATTCTATACCCTTGCTTCAAGTAAGCCAAGGCAAACAAAAAATTGACTGAAGATTACTTTTATAAAAAATGTAGTAAAACAACATTAAATACCATTAATCAATGACAAATTGACAATAATTATTAAAAAAAACGTTATCTGTAATTATTTTCTTTTACTTTATTTCTATTTCCAATGCTTTTTTCCAAAGTCTAATACAAATAGGTCCAATCAAAAGATTAATCTGGGCAAAAATACAACCTTGCAGACAGACAGACATACAAAAATTATATTAAATTTTAATCAGTTTTTCATTATCATCAACGCAATGAGTACTAAGCATGAATTTTTTCCCGGTATAGTACATAAATACTATCCAATTTTAATAATAGTATAAGGAAGACAAATGTATGCATTGTTAGATTTTCCTGTTTAACGTAAATGTTCATTGAAATTTACACAGTATTGTCTGTAACCGTGTAAACATCCTAGTTGACTGATCTGTTGTTTTGACTGAAAGTCTACCGTGTTGTATCATTTCATAACATTATGACTATACTAAATGTCATAAAATGAGTATAAGAAATAAGAAATTTGTCTTTAAGAATCACAGAGACAATTTCTGTTTTAATATTTACTAATATTAATATTATAATTTAATTAGGTTTTATGGTAAGTGCAATATTTTTAATCTAACTTAACTATTTATCACAATAATAGGCTATTAAAATCTCATAAATTGCATAAAATAATTTAAATAAAATTATTGTAGGCTTGAGTTAGTAAGCTTAAGGTAAGTAAAAGAAAACAAAAATAATCGAAAAAAAGAACAGAATCTTTTGTGAATGATACAATTAATTTGAAATAATCATTCTTATAATTAATATTTAGTAAAATTGAGGATAATTGTACTATATAATATACTATATAATAAATATTAAATTAGAATATTTTGCACAGATCATTCAATAATAAAATCAAATAACATAAACCTAGTTTATAATGAAATTGTATAAATAACTTTAAAAGGAAAAAATCAAGGTTACATGACTATGGTTATTCAGATAAAGTTACTAACCTCTTCAGTAACATTTTGCCCAGCTTTTTTCTTAATATCGATCAAGTTGAGAACATTTCCAGTATTAATCGTCACTTTGGAAGCACTCTTTAACATCGTGACCGACGAGATTTTTACTTTTTTTTCTATTAAAGTAACCAAGGTCTAAGGCGAATCGCACCAAGGTTGCCGGTTTATGTAAAAAAAAAACTATAGAGCAATACTTAAAAGACAAGTTAATTTAAACCGAGAGGACCGTACGCCAAAGGCGACACTGATAAACTGAATTCTCGCGGCCTTGCATTGCACGAAAGAACTATACTTTATATCATATCAGCTGTTTATTAGAAATGACGTATTTGCAGGTACTATGACGAAAAATTATTGTTTGGTTGTGTGGG